GTCGACAAGAGTGTACATCTTGACAGTAGAAAGCCTCCTCTTTCTCCCAAGGAGCAGCTGGTGGGTTTGAACTGCTGACCTTGAGGCTAACAGCTCAACATGGAACCAGGGACACAGGGATATGAACTGTGCTGTCGAGAAGGTTAATATAAGGAAGTCATGTCTGGCACATTGCGCTCGCTCGGTTACAGGTAGGTACTCATTACCTGCCCTGGCCTGGTTCCAGCGTTTGTCAGAATCACTACTGAATAAAAGCCAAGCAGAAAGAACTCTTTCGTAGGCACTAGGCTGTTTCCAGTGTGTCACAGCAGCCTTCAGTTCTGCATTGGGCTGTGAATCACAAGGTCAGTAGTTTGAACCCCACCAACCTCTTGGAAACCCAGCAGTGTCGTTCTACCCTGTCCTATAGGGTAGAAACTCAGTGGTGTAGTCCTACCTTGTCCTATACGGTCATTACGAGACCGAATGACTTGATGGCAGTGAACTGAGTTAGTCAATGGGTCACAGTTTTAAACAAGGATGTAGAAAACGCTGGGTACACCCCCCCCCCCTTGTTGATACTTAATCAAAAAGTTCTGCGAGGTAGATTTCTGCTGGGTCAATGAGGGTACGCGTTCCTACGTATTTATGAGCGACGCAGAATGACCCTCCAGCTGAGGTCCTCTCTCACCTGTCTTCGCCGCCGCACCTCAGCACAGGTCCTAGGGGCTCCTGGACGCTTCCACCCGCGACGGTCCGCGCCTCGGGGAAGGCGGTGGTTTTCTTCGGCCCAGCCAATCAGGGGGCGCGAGCGGGAAGTCCACTGCCGATTGGCTTGAACGGGAGCCAATAGGTGTTGCAGGCTAGCGTCACTGGTTTCCCCGCCCGGCTCCTTTACGTAAACCAATGAGAAGCAAGTGTCTGGGAGTGCCCCGCCCTGGGGCGAGCGTCTTGGACCAATGGGAAACAGCGGTTGAATGGAGCGTGTGGCGTGACCCCGGGACCTGGACGGGATCCTGGCGGGGAGAGGCGGTGCGTTCAGCCGGGCAAATGGCTGTGTGGCGCCTGGGAGGCCACCTTGGCCTGCGCAGGTGCCTCGGCGCTGGCAGGATTCTGAGTGTCCGTTGGCAGAGCCGCGGTCCCCAGGGCGTGGAAAGCGGGGATGGGTGAGTGCCTGGCGAGGAGGGTCACTCGATACCTGCCGTGAATCTGGGCGTCGCCGCCAGGTGGTACGTCCCACCGCGCGAGGTCGTCGGGGCAGCTGCTAGGTGACGTTCTGCTGATTTAAGATCATTTGACGTCCCCATGGCAACACTGGAACCTTTGAAGGCAGAGATGGAGCTCTAGTTGAACCAGTCCAGTTGGAAGCCCTGAGGGCATGGTGTTGGCCTGAGCCTGTCCCTGGTGGAGGGTATGTGGTAAAGGGTATGTCCTCAGGACACCCCCTTTTTGGGTCTAT